TATTAATTATAATTATATTAATTATAATTATATTAATTATAATTATACTAATTATAATTATATTAATAGTAATTACAATATTCTGTATTACAACTTATGTACTTATGTGTGAATTTCAATAAAAACAGATATTAAAAAGAAGACAAATTTACAATTTAGCACTATGGTTTAGCACGTGTTAACTTAAAAATTGGGGTTTACAAGAGATTTCGTCAAAAATTCTCAACCTACAAAAAACCCCGCTCTGTGTCGGATATTTGTTAAACTAATCACAACCCAGAGTAGTGACCGCTATCCCTATCTCTGAGTCGGCGACTCAATTAAATACGGCCCGGGCTTCAGAATCTCACAGGGCTCCGCTGTTTCGACCGCGACCGGTAAGAAGACATACATCGGCTCCAAGCGGGAATAATATTTTGCTGTATTTTCAGCCACGGAACCCGCAAACCGGGAAGTATGTCTTAAGTGGGACACTGCAAAAGTGCTTACTCATGCGACGTCTCACAGGAGTCAACGACCTTTTCGCCAAGAAACCTACATATGTCTAAGCCTCCGGCCTTTTACCGCCGATTCAGCTTAGGCCTGAGGGCTCGAGCCCGCAAGGGTTATCATCGAGGAGAGCACCCAACTGTGAAGATGGCAAAGCATTTAACCACGTCCCCTGCGCCGATCTAGAGACGGCTCTATGTGTAAATTAAAGAAACATTAAAATTCTTAATTACTGCATATTTAACAAAATAAACAGTATTTATTGTCTACATTGAGGAGAGTCACAAAAACATAGTAATAACATAAAACTACTTTAGTTAGAGCCGTAGGTACAGGTATAAAAAGTTTACCTAAATGTAACATATATTTTTTATGTATTTTCACAGAATGTATATCGATCGTACAAATAACAAAATGTGGTAATTAATTTTTTTAAATTAGTTTAAAAAACAAATGTTCGTGAAATTACAAAAGAATATAATATAAAGCACACAATTAGTATTTAAACATACCTTAGTTTCTTGTGCAGTACGTATAGGTCACGCGCAGCTAAAAGTTACATCAGCGGTCGGTAGAGAGACATACGTTATTATCTTTTTTTATTATTATTTCTCTTGGCTTTTCGCGGTAAACGTTTTAGCCACTTTCAAAGTGTTTTGACTAACTTGTTTTTAAAACGGGGAAACTTATATAATATCATGGAATGTAATTTGGAAACGGGATTTGAAAGTTGGACAAAAAGTGAAAATAAAGAATAAATATTATTATTATTATTTATTATTACAGCAGTTAATTTTTTATATTATTTTCTAAAATAAATTTAGATAAATAAGTATATATAGAAGAGTTATTGGACAACAACAAAAGACGGATGGAAGTCGGAAGCGGCACATGGCATTGGATAAGATTCTGGATAAGAAAAGAACGATCAAATTTAAAAAAATGTGATTTAAATCGCCAACTTCACCGCAGTCACACACGTCGTCAACAACTATATTGAATCTCGCAAGGTGAACGGGAGTACACGCGTGACCTAATCTCCTACTAGCCAAAATCGTCTGTATACTTATAAAGTTTGTTATTTATGCCCGTTAGGGGTGGCAAATGCTAATTTTTAATTTATGCCAGTCATCAACCATTAGCCAAAGCAGGTAATAATAATAAATTTAGTTCTATTTGCCATCAGTGCATAGCAAATGGAAAATCTTACTGAGACAGCATTGGTTACGCCAGTGGCTAGCTAAAAAAAGTACAAAAATGAATCCAAATGTAACTAAATTCGGGTGCCAGCTAAATGGCACACGTAGCCAAGAGTTGCAGTAGTTGCCTCTACGATTTGGTGGAGACAAACGGGAATAAAATAGGAGTATAAAAAGTAAAAAAATATTATACTGCGTAAAATATTAAACGTTCATGAGTTTCTCACAAGTGGCGCTGAGGGCACATAGAGAAATTTGTGGGATCTGCCGACTCCATCTGTAGCTCAGTTGGTGAGAGCGGTGGCTCCGATGTGGTAACGGACGCTGTTCGAGTCTAGCAAGGTCGAAGGTTTTTTCTTCGTCGAATTTTTCTTTGTGTTATTCGGTCTTTGTATCAATAATAATAAACTAGTGAAGTAAAATATTCTAAAAATATGTGAATGTCATGGTAGTAAAAACATCAATAAATAAATAATATTAAACTATGTTACGAAAACCATATTTTCGTTGATCATGTGATGAAAATTGTTTTTCACAAATCCACGCGTCACGGCATTCAATCTAAATTTGTTTGTGTATCAAACACAAGCAGGCTTTATGACTTTCTCGTGCGTCAGCGTATATTTGCTGATTTGCCGTAAATTAGTCCGTCGTTTGTCACATCTAAGACGCTTTAAAACTATATGATAAATCGGCTTCATGTTAAAATATTTAGTATATTTATGATAATTTGTGATTTATGAACAGAAACGGGCGCTTTCAAGTTGATTTTTACTTATTTTTTAAATTTATGTGTAGAATACGTACGCACTACTCTGAAGTGTGTGTATCACTTTTAGATATCGAGATACATATTAAGTACCTACCTATATGTTTGTTTGAACAACGTAGGTAAAATTCAATTTATACATCATTCATTTATTTGTGAAAACCATGTTTTTACCATCTTCTTACAAGATGGTACAAAATTAGTATAGTTTCACTGTGTCCGATCAAACATTAGGTATATAACAAATATTGAAAGTATATTATACATTCACTCAAATGCACTGCAACAGACCGGTGTAATTTTTTTTTGATAATATCACATGGGCGTGCACACAGCGCGGTGATAGTTATGGGTAATTTTCAGGTCTTTGTTCTCTACCTAATTTCGGTGAGTTTTTGTTATTTATGTATTCTAGTATACTATCGTGAAATATTAAATAATACTTCAGGATAGTACACTCGAATATAAACTAAAACTTCATGATAATATTCTAGAATTTTTCAATAATAAAAATTGCCACCGAAATTTGATAGAGAAAACTAACCTGAAAATTACCCTTAATGGACAATAATTGTAAAATGTAACTAGATGTCAAAATAATAACAATAATAATAGTAGTATTTTGAATAATGTCAAAATAAATATCCAAATTAGACAGTGTAATTGGGGATATGTCATTTAAAAATAAACATTAGAAGTCTTGTTAAGCTAAAATATAAAATTAACTACAAGTACAACAGAAAAAACATAACCGAAATAATCTTTGTGTTTTAAATTTAAAAATGAAGCAATAAAATGAAATAGAGACGATAATTTTAAAGTCCCACATATACGTCATCTAGCAGAAGGTGCGCTAGAATGCAGACAGCTACATAAAAAAAATATTTACAATTAAGATAAAGTTTATACATAAGGTTGTAGCAGAGCGGAATCTTATATAGCCTATAGGCTTTATTATGATTAAAAGGAGATTTAAGAAATAAACTGTTACTATTATAGAGGTCCTGGGTTTTCCCGATCGGTACACGTTGCAAAATGTTACTATTATTTTATTATTACATTTTGCATTTGTCTCTTCGGAAATACGAAATAAATTGTACTATTTTAATATTAACTGCTTTAGGATACTTTTAAAAACTACATTACTGCGTCAATATTCAATATGACCCCAGCAAACACATACAAGGTAGCAAAACAATGTATAATTGGCACGGTAAATACATGCGTGGCGTGTATTATTACCCTACACATGAATTATGTACTGCTACAGCGCTACCTGCTCTAAAGGAATTAAGCAAGGCCATCATTAAAGGATCTTCTTTATAGCCATTGTATAACTAAACGCTGTTTATCGCCAACAAGAAAAAATCATGATATTACATTGTGACATGTGAGTAGTTTTTTGGGGCTATAACATAGAATAAGAATAACTGCAATATTATTTACATCGATGAAATAATCATGCAATGAGTACGAAAATATGTACAAACGCCACTAAACAAACATAGGTACTATCAGCAAATTTAAGTCCACCCGTTATTTTCACACAAAAAGATCTACGCAATTTCCGCTTTAAATAAAACTGTTTCGGGATTGGGAAGGTTTCGACTATGTTGGTACTACAACGGTAACGGATTTGAACAAATAACTATTCTTTATAATAAAGTCATTATAAAGAATAGTTATATGTTATGCAATTATATTCATTTCGATGAAAAAAAAACATAATGACACTTTCAACTACGCGATTCGTCGTACATTATTTATGTAATATAAATCCGTTGATACATTTTATCCTCATTTTGGTTGACATTAAATTGACAAATTTTAATTATTTTTTAAAATTTTGTTTATTAAAACTGATTTATTATAGTTCAACTGTTTTTGTTTCATCTATCATTTTCCTCGTTATAGTTAGGTGAAAAGTTGAGTATTTTTCTCGGCAGTAAAGTTGTTTTGCGTCTCGAGCCTTGAAACCCTCGCTACGCTCTGAATTCTATTCTTAAACCACTCGTTTCGCTTGTGGTTCAATCTTAGTGCCCTTCTCTTGCTCTAGGTTTCAATACGAACACTCGCGTCAAACTACAAATTTGCAGCCTTGCATAACAAATAACTAATTTCACCTCACTAAGTCGGAAAGGCTTTCTTTCTCATTAGAAATCTGCGGACAAAAGTGTTCTTTCCACGTTAGCGTGGAAAAGGTTTTTGAAATTCGTACTTGACTGGACTGTGGTGTATCAACTTTTTTTAAAACAAAAAATAATGCGTTCAACTCTTAGACTATTCCGTCCTCTAAGGTTCAACTACGCGATTTGTCGTACATTATTTATGTATGTCGTACATTATTTATGTGTAAATCCGTTGATATATTTTATTCTTATTATTGTTGACATTAAATTGACATATGATATAACTAATTATGTTTATGAAAGTGTTTTCCTTTCGTCTACCATTTTACTCGCTATAATAAGGTGGAAAGTTGTGTGTTTCGCTCGGTAGCAAAGTTGTTTTGCGTCTCGTGTCTTGAAACCGCTATGCTCAGGATTCTATTTTTATCTTAGCACCCTTCGCTTGGCTCAGGTTTCAGTTCAAGCTCTCGTTTCAAACAACAGCCTTGCATAACAAATAACTATTAACATATAGAATTACCGAAATGTTCTTGAGTAATTATATCCTATGCTCTTCTGGTACCCGTAAAATGCATAATATATTTATCATAATTACTCCTTGGTCAAGAAGCATGGACTTACCTTAATAAAGTACTACCATAGAATTTCTTTAATGTTTTAGAACTTCAAAATGACAACCCAATACCACATCTGGGAGCTACCATCACAAGACATCGGCGGTCCGTTCAATGCTCGTGCCATGTCTTCGCAAGGCGACGCAGAAGCTGCTGCAGCTATGAGATCATACCTCTCTTTAAATGATGCTGGTATTCCATTGACTAGAGCCGCCTTCCCGCCCAATATGATCAAAGAGCCGGAGTCTAACTGGGAAGTTACTGACTACGTTGAAGTTCCAACGTTGAAAGAAGATATTTCTGTTATTTCATGATATCAGTAAAGACTTTAAATTTTGGTGTGTGAAGAAATGTTATCAGTGTGGTGATAATAATGGTTCTTTTTCGGGAAAAATCAGAAATTTTAGCAGTGTGGTTGATTATGGGGAAAAAGTCATAAAGCTAGTTATCAAATCGACTAATGCTTGTGATGTTTAGTTGTCTCAAACAACAAATTAATCGAAATTGTGTCATTAATGTCTTGTACGTAGGTATCTACTAAACTCCTAACGTTCGTTAATGTAATATAAAACCTATGAATTACTGTAATGTAATGCAAATCTCCGACGGGTATTGTCTGTCAATCGAAATTAATCAAGTTTTTAATCCAAGAACGTTGTAATCACTGATATTAGAGACATAGTTAAAACTTCTTTATTTAAGAGATAAAATAATATTCCGTTTCACTTTTAAAACAAATCATAATATATTCCATAAGTCTATTTAAAATTCCATTATACGTAGGTATTACGTTAAATAATATTATAAAGTTCTGACCCTTTCTTATTTGAATTACATAAATCATATAAGTCGTACATAACAATGAATTAACTCTCGCTAAGAGTACTGTGTACTTTTGCGCATTATAAGGTAGCCTTGTTATTGTTACGCATATTATAAGTTAAATTATCTTGCCAGGTTACAAGTATTATTGTAAATTTAAATTGTTCGCGCAAAATAAGTTCATTCAAGTTATCGGACAATAATTAGCTCGGAATTTGAAATTATTGTGTAATTAGTTAATTAAAAGTAGATTATAGGTTTTGTTATTTTTAAGTCTTCTTAGTGAAGAAATTGCCTGTAGATGCATTTAATAGATATTAAGTTTTTAAAATATGAGTGTATCGCGAGATTAGTTTTAAAAAATCTTGTCCATTTATATATATACATATATATATCTATATATATATATGTGTGTGTGTGTGTGTGTGTGTGTGTGTATATATATACACACATATATATACACACACATTATTATTTTTTATTCAATTTCAAGAACAATTTTAAAAAAACGGCTGTTCCTTATCGCTAGGTAAAAACTTAGAGGTTTAATCACCTAGCGATGAGCTAACAAGCTTCACACTTAAATTAACTTAAAATTCACTACAATATTAATTAATTGTCGAGTATATATCCACATTTAAACAAGTGCTATATATATTATACTACAAACTAAGATAGTGCTTCTTTAAAACAGTTTTGCATTTCTTGACATCACCATCATTCATCATTATTTAGTGAATTTATTTTAGAGTATTTTCTACATCCATGATATAGAGAGCTAGAAAACGTTAGCAACTAAGATATAATTATAAATAACTTGTGAGACTTTCTCAATGTACTAGTCCTTTTTTATTTTTAGTGCATTCCAAATGTGTTATGTACAATTTGTTACGTTTAAATATGCCTATGAATATGAAAACTATTTCAAAGAATTGATTTATCACATAGGTTTACGGAGTACTACCTACCGGAAATTTAAATTAGTTAATTACACAATTGTATACGAGTAAATTTGCACATAGCCAAGAGCTGCACAATTGCATAATACACAATGTATTTACTTCATTTACATAAACTATACACATTATTACATTACACGGTTTATTCGAGAGTTTGTTCGTATTTTATAACTTTTTAATTCCCACGCTTGTAAATATAATAATATGTTTCGAGTAAGCAGGGTCAAGTGGAAATTACGTAGGTTCTAGGGTCTAGAATCTTATACTCGCATTAGCAAGTCAATGTATATTGTTTTTGGAAAACTTAGTACGTATGTACTAAAGTTTTTCAATATAAGGGCTAAAATACTCTTATTGTAGCACTTATGCGCATTACATATTTCGCAAATATGTTATAAAAAAATCGGCATGTAGATTTAATATAGATTATAAGGATCGCTTCTTGCTAGAATATCTGAAATTTAATCTTTTGCCTCTATATTCCGTAAACGAATATTACTTAAGAAAATTAGGAGCTAACTGCCTTCGTTAGGAGCTAACTGATTCCCGAAATGTTTTTATGGCGTACATTAATTCGTCTCGTTAGTTTGGGTGTAATTTGTGGTGTTCTACGTGTGTGACCATGGCACAGGGTTTCTCTAGCGCGGGGCTTTATGCGGGGGTGTGTGCGTAAAAAAAGGTGCATAAGTACCTAGTCCTTAGTAGCAATATAGTTTTATTTCTCACTGTCGAATTGAAAAGCAATGTTTAACTCTGCTGTAAAACCCATTTAAATGAATCTTTTTACGCCCTTGAAGAACAATAATGTTACTATTTTTGACACGTGTATTTTTATGTTTACTTAAATTTAAAGCTGAACAAACTTAAGTAGTTAAGTTATATAATTTACGAGGTTCAATTTAAGGTAATTTCAAGCTAATAATAAATTTTATATATGCATGTCGTGTCTTTTTCTTTATCCTTGAACTTAGATCATTATTCATTCTAATTTATTGTTAATAGTCAATACAATGACTTAGATGACTGAGTATAAGCCGATTCATTGCATGCATTTGCTATGAGGCACGTGAAGGACGTCGAGTTAAGCATACGAGATGTTTTGATTATAACAATGCTGATGTCTGTAACGTTGTGGTAAAGCCACCAAAACCAAGATGTGTAACGATGTAAAGAATTGATTTGTCAATAAAAAAAATATGTAAAAGACCCGTGCATTAAAGTAAAAAATGTTCAAATAATCAGAACTGATTATTTGTACATTTCTGAGAAATCACTGAGAAAAAATATAAATGCAAAACTTTCATATCGCTCCCTAGGGTGCAGGGTCTTGTAAATAGCCTGCTAATTTGGGCTGAAGACAGTATAGGATGAGTTTTATTTATTTATTTTATTTTTTACTGTACATAAATCACATTTAGTAAAACGGAAAATACTAACAAAAGGTTCTGCTTATTTCTAAAAGTTATTTCTTCCTGCAGACCTAAATATAGGAGACAATAATTACAATAACGGGATCACGTGCACAACAAAACAAAATTGAATTATGTAATAAAATAGTAAAAAAAAAACAATTTTAGTATAAACAAAGTTTCTAGACACGTTTTATACACAATTTACGTTTAAGTATGCAAGAACACTTAAATGCTACCGGTACACCTGGTAGACATAATAAAGATTGTAAAGAAGCCTGTAACAATGAAAACAACGAACAAAGAGCAGAAAGAAAACTAAAAACTTATGAAAATATGATACAATATTTATTGTACCTATTTAGTTAATAGGTATGCTGCCCATTTGGTGTTGTTTAACCAATTGTATGGAATATAACAAGTTATTCACGAAATCTGTTCACGTTCTTGACAGTACACATAAAAGATAAGGTGGTCGTTACGAACTTATTAGCACCGGTGTAACGGCTACTTTTAAAGCTAAAGAAGCATTACCAAGTAATTAGTAACTCTAACTCATGTCTATCTCCATTGTTAACTAAAATAAGCAACGTTCGTAACAATATAGCGGCTGATCGGCATAAAAAGTTGCCATTCGTCCGGGCAAGTACGCGAATTTACACACAATACTAACATTATTTATCGAATTACTTATAAATTAAACATCATTGGTCCTAGTGTTTAAACGAATGTTGCTGTACCTACTTTATTGGTATTTAATAGGTATTGACACCTTTTGATTATAGATTAGATAATCAGGTAACGTTATAGATATATGGTGAGCGTGGTGTTGAAGAGAAATTAACAATGATAATGTTGCAAGAAGGAAGCAGTTTAGTAGCAGTAGAGCTCCTTGTGAAAGAGTTCGTCCAGGGAAGTACCTGCAGTACCACCCTACAAGCAGGAATGTCAGCATTACTGTGTTCCGGTTTTGAAGGGGTGCTTGTGAAATTATAGGCACATGGGACTTGTCAACTAATGTCTCAGGGTGACGGGCGCAGTGGTAGAGCCCCTCAGATCTTTGCCATTTAAAGCTTTGAGTAGCACTGTGACTGCTATTGACAGGCGTCACTTGATGTTATAAAAAAAAAAAAATTTTTAGAAGAACGCATGTCCGCGTCAGCATCGTCGTTGCTTAATGTGTGGTAGGATAGATATGTTTGTATGTGTATATATATACATACATATATATATACATGAACATACAGATAAATGTATATACTTACAAAGAACAATACCTAGGGTCGTATTCTAAAACTCTACTCAATGCTCAAGTCAGGATTTGAGCACACTTGAGTATGATTTCAAGCACTGGAAATACGACCCTAACGGCAAGGACTTGAGTATTATTTTCAGTGCTCACTGCAATCCAGAACTCTACTCAATACTCAAGTCCTGACTTAAGTATTGAGTAGAGTTCTGGAATACGACCACTAGACTCTTCTCAGGCGAATCTGCCTTACGAATGAGTAGTGGAGTTTAATCGATGTGACAATTTCAGGGCATTGTCACTGCGCCCATCGCTCTGAGACATAAATTAATAAGTTCCAAGTGCATGTAATTACGTGTACGTGCCGTTACGTCTCATGTAATACGTATGTGTAATGTGCTTACCTATGAAATAAAGATTTCTTGAGTTTGAGTTTAACTATGAGATTGACTTTGAGTTTTTAATGGTCAAGCATGAGTCTTCACTTTACATTTAAAAAATATCGAGTGTAAGAAAATTGTTGCTATTGATAATAGTTTATGTGAACATATTATTTTGTTCATTTGCATTTATTATTTGAAATGTATGTGACTACTACACACTGACTAAATACGTACATAGCCGGCAATTGTCAGTCTAAGCTTTTCATGACTTTATTGTTAGTATTCACTAGATAATTAAAGATAAAGCAAGTAGGCAAAATACATTTTTGAGTTTGCATTTGCAAGATAGAAACTATTTAAGAACTTTACATAGTATTTTTTTAAAGTTAAATGTTAGCTATTTTTTTGAAAATCTTTTGAGTAGAAAATCTGTGTATTTGAATTTGATATTGGCTTGACTCATTGCCCAAAGTTACAAAAATCGGTATTCAAAGTGAACTCTGATTTATATGAGTGTATAAAAAGGAATGTATTTAAAGTGCTGTACAAACATTGGATGCTTGGATGTTTTCCAATGACTTCTTTGTGCCATGGGGACAAATTGCTAATTATTTATAAAATAAGACTTTGTTACTTAATTAAATCAGATTTTAATTTGAAACTAATGATTCTTCTATTTCTTTATGAAATTTTATTTACTGTGATTGCCAACGGATACAAATCAGACAGAAATAACTTTATATGCCGTTTACGTGCTAGTGTTTATATTACCAAAGCTGATTATATTATTTTACAAAGCATTTGGTAGTTACGACGTACGTAGTATTATTCTTTTTCTGATATCGGAATATGCAGTGCTGCTATTATCGTTTAAAAATTGAAATTGTTTTATAATTTTTTTTTTATAATTCTTTGAATTTGTATTCCTCCGTGGCCGATCGGTTACCATAGAGGGTTGCCACACAGATGTGTTCGATACCCGGGCCTTGAGAAATATTAATATGACTTACATTTATTTCTCTCATGAGTTTGGGCGTAATTTGTGGATGTCTATGTCTGTGTTCATGACACCCGCGATACAGGATCTTCCCAGTGAGGGACTATGAGAGAGTGTTTTATTTATTTATTTATAATGAAGGCTGAAATTATTAATTTACTACTTGAATAGTGCAAGTACAAGGTGCAAGACTTGTCAAGTCTTGCACCTGGTTGGTGGTAAGCGATACGCCTATCCATGCTAGTTGCAGTGCCACTCAGAGTTTTAAATCGCAAAGACCAGAGGGGTACTCCATTACGCCTGATGCATGTACTTGATAAAAATAGTAGCGCCTTTGATTCAAACTGGAATTCATGTAAAAAAATTGTAGGCACTTTTTCAATTGATTAAAATGAGATCGTATTGTAACGCTCAGATTATTTTCGTGATGAGTATACTTCTATATTCGCTCTCTCTAATTTATAGAAATTTAAGAATTATGCAATAATAAACATCAAATAAAAACTAAGTAGCAGTCTAGAATAAAGGAAGAATCAAAGTTTGCCAAAGTCACTTAAGTGTTAACTTATAACTTCTTAACACCTCGATCGAAGAATATCTGCATCAATACCAACAACTTGTGATTAGTTAGTACTCCATCGGTAAACCTCTTTTATTTTATTGAACTCAATTAAATTGGTCGATATAATAATAACGTATACACTCAACATAGCCCAACATAGGGTGTAATTTGTGGTTGTCTATGTGTGTGTCCATGGTACCCACGACACAGGGTTTCCCTAATGTGGGGCTATGAGTGTGTGCGCGTTATAATATTGCAATTATAATAATATTTGTTATTCTGCTAAAATTTATGTCAGTTGCAATGTCAGTTGCAATGTCAGTTGAGGTCTCGATAGAATGTCAGTGGAATGGCAGTGAGGCATTCATCAATTTAAACACTAACGATCGTTATGGTCTATTACTAAAACTACCATGGAAATTTCTAATTTTTAATTCGTGTTATCGCAATATAGCCTTCAAATTAAATATCGACACTTGAAAGGCAAAATGGGATTAGCGAAACTTTTGGTCATATTGCCGTTGGAATCAGCTAATGTTTCTGATTCCAAAGGTATAACTCAATATGACCCAATTAGCAGACTACACCGTCGACTCGACGTTGAAGAGCAGAATACCAAAAAATTGCAAAGGTAGTTAGCTCCATGTTTAGCCACTGACAAGCCACAACTGTTAACTTTGAGCAGAATATCAAACGTACAAAATCCTGCCATTGACACGCTATGGCACACAAATAAGATGTTTTTAAAGTAGCAGACTTGGGGTCCGGTACACCAGTACCGGACACCGGCTTTCGGCGTATATTTAACATGAAATGGTTTTTACTATTGTTATAAATCGTTATATCTCAGTACAATAACAAAACTTACTGTAGCATACTTTATTTAGTAGAGACGGTCTTGCTTACAAGGTACGCGGTTATGGCGTTTTAAAGATATCGTTTTCAGAAATAAGTAAGTAAATGTACTGGGTTTCACATACAAAAATGTCAAGTCAGAAGCAGACAAAAGCTCATGTTGCTCATTACGTATTTTCCGAGACGTTACCATATCCGACCTTCCTTAATTCCTGTCCGCATTATCTAACTAGAAAACCAGTCGGAACTCAGAAATTAGAACGTTTTGTGCTACTTTGCTTTAAAGTTCATACTTACTTTCAAGTTAGACTGATTGTACCCAGTTCTGGCTGGATGTACATTATTGGGGCACAGGTTTACAATTTATAGATTCTGAAATGGCACGGGAAGCTTATCTAACCCAATGTGACTGCGGTGATCCCAAATAGTCTATGCAGCACTTGCTGGTGTGCCTAATAACCTGCACGAGAGAAGACCTCAGCGCCATACATGGCCAATAGGGTGGTCACATATTAAATAAATTAATAAGAATATCAAAGGCAGCGTACACCGATGATTTTCAAAGTGGTCTATATCGACCCCCAGGTGCTACATTCTAAACTACAAGGTTTATTAAAGGGTTAATGGTATTCCAGGAGAGTGGACCCCAGTCAAGCAGGTCGTGACCAACATTTTGCTATTCATATATGAAATAATCCACGTAGATAGTGCCCATGCACTTACATAATACTGTGTTATAATACACGTAAATTACATTTTACAACAAAGAAAATATAAAGCTATATTTTTTATGATACCAAGTACCAGGATGGACAAGTTGTGCGCCTGGTGTTAAGCGACACGCCTGTCTATAGCAGTTGCAGTGCCACTCAGAGCTTTAAATCGCAAAGATCCGAGGGACACCGCCGCTGCGTCTGTCACCCTGAGACATAAGACAAGTCCCATGTGCTTGTAATTTCACCAGCACCCTTCAAACCCGAAACACAATAATGCTCACATTACTGCTCGGCGGCAGAAATAGGTAAGGTGGCAGTATTTCCCTGGATGAACTCTTTCACAAGGAACACTACTGCTTCAAAATTTCTGGTGTTTCCTATCCAGATAGAGACAATTCTTGCAGGACATGGTTAAAATTGAGCACGCGTAATTAATTGTGGTCACGACACGTTTCGAACGCCTTTTTAATCGTAAACAAATGACACATGGCCTATGAGACAAAAAGTTTGGGAACCTCTGATACAGATCTAAAAAGAAAGGAAGCAATGAGACGATAAAAAAAAGAATAATGTTAGATACTGGGTGGTGGCATTGTTCATATTTTCGTACAAATTTCCTTAAACTACTGCATATTCAAGTTTCTTGTATTCCTTGATCTTTAAATGTGATTTAGGCAACTACTTAGACAACATTAAAGAAAGTTGTTAGACAAGAACTGGATCCAGTGTTTACCGGCGCGGTTTTCCCATTAAAGTTAAATAATTTTAAAAACCTGTCTGCACTATTCAAGTACGATACGAGGAAAATGGTTTTTTTAATATTAGACTAGCTTGGACTTGCCAATACTGTAAAAAATGATAGAAAATGATACAGCACTGGTATGTGTGCATGAATCACTGGTCCACTACAATGGCACGGAGTTACTGGTATTGATAATTTATTTTCTGACTATTTGTAGGAGAGTGTAAAGGAAATAATTAAAACTTTAAAAAAATATCAAAAGTTTGTGGAATTACATTAAGTTTTATTGAAATCGGTTAGCGGAAAGCGCGTGAAATCTAATAAAATCTGATTCATCCCCTAATTTGCCACCCCGACGCGGAATATTTTTTTCAAATTTGATTGGGATCATTACTGAGGTATCCCCTTTCCAACAAAAAAGTATCATCTAAATCGGTTGTCAAGCCGATGACTTACTTTCTCAAATTCGTATCTTAAAAAAAGTGATTATTCGGGAGATGGCAAAACTTTCAATTTATTTTAAATTTCTTATCAAAGGAGTTAATTTGGATGCTTTACTTTAATAATAGATAAAATTCACTGTGTGAATATGAAGGAAATGTGACGTGAAATTAGTCTGCATTTGTATATACAGTCCACTTTTTGCATTTCAGTAAGTTTGTGCTTTAAGCCACGAGTTTGAGAAAGTAAAACGACGAAATACACACAATAAAATACAATCGAATCGAGAACCTCCTCCTTTTTTTGAAGTCGATTAATAAACGTGGAAAAAATATGAGTTGTAATGTAACGTATGTGTATTTAAAGGTATTACAAAGAGATTACTATTATAAAAATCCGATTGTTTATTCAAACATACTTAACAATAGAGGATAAATTCCTCATGACGATTTTGTTAAAACCAAGCTAAATTACTTCGTTTGACACGTGAAATGTAAATTTATAACTTTACCTATTCACTTTGTACGTTACGGACAACTACACAATTGTATGAAATGTGATGTACTACTCATGACCACACCCCAAAATACAGTAAGGCCCGATCGACTTACCACTCAATCACCATCAGCATTAACTGTCCAATATGTGTTTTATTACTATCACCCTCAATGATAGTGCCTGCCAAGCCCGCGCTACACATCTTCCTTACAAATTGTGTAGAAACTAGTTCCATAATATTTTGGCTTAATTTAATTAAATGTTTTATATAACATAAAATAAAGTCTCATAACGACAAGAATAACAAATAATACAAGCGCTGCTGAAGTATTTATGTGAACACAAATCTTCTTCAGACAAGAGATAAAAAAATTTAAAAATGTAAATGAGAACTCGACTAAACAAACGCTCCCACTCAATCCAGATTAATTCTCCAGCATTAACGAGGTAACTGGTGAGATCAGAGAATATACTTGTATTTACGAATATAATCACAGGAGAATCTAAAATAAACTGCAAAGAAGATATTGTGCCAGTTCACCCACTCAATGTATTTTATCTTGGTAACTCTTGCAATTTGACCTGAATGCTTTTGGAGATTTACACAGGTATGTTTGGTTTAATAAGCGAGTACACACCGAAATAAGAAATGTTCGTAAATGAGCTCGATGAGTGAGAAACTTAGTCCAAGAATCTCATACTTAACGTATAAAGTTATGGTTTATATTTTTAATTATACCGACAAGGGATTAGCGTAGTCTTGAGAAGTCTACCACTGTTTTGAAAGAGGAAATCAGTGGCAAACAATTACAATACAGTGTAATCTATACTTTGTAGATATTAGAATGATCCAATAAAGCACAGAAAAACAATCGTAAAACTAGATAAACTTCATCAACCAATCTTCTCAACTGAAGGTGACTAAATTGAAAAGCAATAATCTTCGTTACAACAGGTTGTATAAAACAAAAATAACTTCTGCTGCTCTTTTAGGGTTTTATTTCTGTATTTTTATGGATTTTGGTATGATTCCAAACCAACGACTGTGTGATGAAAAGTGCAAGGAAACGTCTATTATCGTCGTGGTAAACATCAATAAATTGTAAAGACTGATCGTGTTTACTTTATAATAAATCGGTCACTTCCAGCCTATTTATCATAATTAGTTGGCTATAGAGATAGCAACTAACAGGTCTATAGTGTTATATTATGTACGCATAAGTAAATGTAAGTATAAATTACGTATGTATTTGTTCAGGTTATCGTGAGGTCGGCCGAGAATAATGTGTAGAGGACACTCACTTGCAAAGTCTTCGTGATAGTCCAGTTTCTTGAAATTAAAAAAAATTTTCACATGTTACATTTTTATGTATTTATTACGAACCTATACATAAATTTTTTGCTCGCATAATAGAAGTACAAATTACTAACAACCTACTCATATATTTGGTCACATTATGAGGCATAACCAATGACCAGTCTGTTCATTACGCAAAAACTTCGTTATATTTATGAAAGCAGAAACTGTGCGCATTGAAAGTACCTAAAGTTGAAACCTCAACTATGCAAGAAATTTCATCAGTGGCCACCATAGATCCAGGTTTCCCACTGTAAAAGGCACAGAATTATAGCACTGGCAGTAGCCAACTGTAGTTGGCTAACCTTTTCTGGTCCTGCGCGGTCCTGGAGTTGGAGTTCGTGCCACCCATGTTTGCGTGATTGGAGGAGTTCACAATATTCCATAGATTGATGAACATACTATCAGATATTTTGCTGAAGTTGCAACAGATGCCAATGGGCTATGGCATAGCCAATATATGAGCATTACTGCGTTTCGGTTTCGCTGGTGAAACTACAGAAACAAGAGACTTGGCAATTTTATGTCTCAGGGCTTTAGGCGCTGTATAGTGCCCCTCATATCTGTGCCATTTACAGCTCTCGGTGGCGGAGCTGCAAGGCACGCTCACTTTCCGACGCCGAGGTGTCTCTTCAGTTCCCAGAAACCTACGCAGACGGAGGGACTGGAGAATGTCTAGCTTATCCTTTACTGGCTCTCCGGCCTAGTATCGGAGATGTCTGTCGCAGTGTTCTGCGACAATATCCGGACAAAGTTTCCAAAAGGCAGCTCAGCTAGTCGAGCGTCGAGGCCCTAGAGCCTCGTCTAGACCTCTACAAAGATGAGCTAGCTGCGCACGAGACAGACGCCCCGGAGACACACCACCGGAGCAGATGAACATGTCCGTCTCTGCAACTCACCACAAACCCCGGCGAGTCAATACCCGAGTCCGGGTCCACTAGACTAGACTAGTCTCTGGTGGATCCGGACTTGGGTATGGCGCCCGCCGTACCCAGGTCTTACCGGGGAACTCAGCTTCTCCCCGAAGCTCCTTAAACTCTTGGGTCGGTAGATAGGGACAATAGGAGGTAGGAATGTACTTTAAATATTGTAAATAGGACATCTTGTTTCATGAAGACAGATTTTAGTTTTTAAAATAAGTAATTCTGCATACAAAGATTTTTAAAAAGTTGCTTACCTCACCTTACCGAACCTGGTCTACACAAGTCTAAGTGAACGAGAGAGTAAATTTTTCAATATGTACTTCATAAACTAGTGTACTCCTAATTGTAATTCATATGTTCATAAGTACTAAGTACATAATCGTATTACTAATCAATATAGAGGAAAAAAACACTGATTCATCGTCAGTACATGCTAATGATCACTCATAATAACGCGTTGATATCTTTACTTCTAAAAATTTTAGCAATTTAAGCAATCATAGAACAGATTTCAACTACTTTGCTTTTTTCAGGTTGGTCAGAAATGGAAACCCAAAAGGGTTTCTAGGCATGATGAACAGTAGCAGAAAATTTTATTTTTCACGTAACATACATTTTTGTACTTAAAAAGCATGGTACTAATAAATAATATTTGTTTTTTTTAATAAACCAATGTTTTGGGTCCTTTAAAGACCCCATGGACACGTATGATTGAATCAGGCATGACCGTGGGCCCATGTTTGAAAAAAAAAACTTTAATTTCCTGTGTTAAAATCGCGAAAACATAAGAACTCGATAAGCAAAAGGGTATAATTTCAATCATTTCTAAATGTAAACAAATGCATAATATATTTATATGAAAATATATTACATGAAAGTACATATTAGGTAATATAATAGAAAAATACTTGTAGAGGGGCGTAGCTGTACCAATGCGAAACGCACGAAGCCGCTGCCGCAGTCAGCGCGGGCGCAGTGCCGCAGTGGCCTAGAGGTGATCGCGCGTGCGGTAGAGCAGTTCTCTGACTACGGCCCTCTTCCGCGCCCGCGCCCGCTCCGCTCCGAGCGCCCTGACCCCACGTATAAAGCAGCGGCACCGCGCACGCTCGCAAGCAGTCACGACCCATCCACGCTCTCTTGTGCAGTTACTAGTCTCGCGATAACACTGACAAATTTACTCGTGTTACTATTTACACCCGTAGCCACAACTATGGCCCAAAATGACTGGGGATACACAAGCGAAAACGGTGAGTTCGCAACTTCCTTCCTCCTTTGAATTGAATAATTGCTACAAGCGGCCTGGACCGGTTTGTTTACATCGTTCCACGTGACGAATTTTATGTAAATAAAACGTGTTCGACTGTGAAAAACTGAAGAAGACACTTACTTTTAATATAACTTTGCTATTTATTTGTACTTATGAAGTTTTATCAATTTTTGACGCATTTTCCGGTTGTTCACAATTAACTACATCAAAAGAATTTTAAATACTAGACGTAATTATAAAGATACGGTTAATTAACTTTATTGGTAATACTTACAATGACGTGGCTTCAGTTTTTGTTTAATGACTAAATAGGTACCAATACAGATTTCATTCATAGGATTACACTAGTTGATTCACGACATATGAAAATAAGTATTGTTACGTTGATTCATTGGGATCCGTGAAGTTATGTTTACAGGTAGCAAGCACTAAAAACTGTTTAAAATTTAGTGATGTAAAATGCTAATTCAGTGTACTTTATACATATAATTATTTTATTAAATCTCCGCCCATTGTCTATAGGTTTTTGTTAATACCTGTGTTGGGAATGATGCTAAAAGTGTAATCGTTGCGTGCAAAATGTTAGCCGCTGAGGCTGGCCTACTTATTCGGATCGTGGCCCGCAAGCCGGTCCGACAAATGAAACTTCTTCACCGAACGGTTTTTGTGCTAACAGCCTAACTGTGTACTTATAAACAAAAGAATGACCTCACACACCGCTCGTAATCCATTAATAAAATATTCGAAAAAAATAAGACAATGGATGGAACAAATACATTCCTTTATATATATGCAGTGCCTACCACTTCCATGTCAACCCACTGATAATTTTTTCCAGTTTCATTTTTATGTAATGAAACATGTAATCGAATATGTCTATTACAATTCGACTACACTTCGATCGACACATTAGCTGTGAAAATTAAAGCGTAATTACCTACACTAATATTTAGACTTTTTTTGCTGAAAATAAACACAACAAAGACCTTCTTAAACAAGTTTATAGGCTACTAACAAAGACGTTCCAGTGTTTTCAAAATTGCTTTGATCAGTATACTTAGGATATACTCGTGTACTGGAGAAAACAATTAAATTCTAGTGTCAAAGTCTCAGCAAACTATACCGTTTAAGTCGGAAATTGGCGGTGTTTACTTTTCAAATGATATAACCAACACACGTACTATTTCTTATCCATAAATAGAGCGTTTCTATTTTCTTAAAGTTTTATAGCTACATCGATACAATTGATGATCTCGCCAACGTCAAGTTAAGGAAGACCCTCGTTATTACTCACAATTTGATAAGTGATTTTCGATGGTAGACTACACAGAGAAGAGTATTTATAAATAGACACTATTACAAACAATAGCCTAAAAATGTAATATAATATAATGTATGCAGTTTTTTTCTGTCCTTTCAAATTATTCGGCATGGCTTGAAACGTTTGTTTGATGAAAATATGCTTAACTTAATATTACCGCGCAGACGTTCATTTTACATCTATTGGGTGTTATAGATTTTTTTTATACAAATGACTATATTTTTTGTCTACACATCAGACATCTTGCTTTTCTTTCATTAATTATCTGCATCAATATTGCGAAGTTCTTGTAGTGCTCTACACAACGTCTTTTAAGAACATTTTTTTATATATGACCTTTTTTATATATTTAATATGACCAAAAAAAAACTACAAAAAATTACCACTTCTCTTCGTTCGCGCAAGCGATGATCGCTTTGTTAAATATGCTAATTCATTTTGCGTCTTCTGACAAATTGGTATATTAGAAGATAAATCTATTCAAAACCAATTATCATTCATTTTGAAACTGATTTTAAACGGTTGTCGTACTTTACGGTGAATCCATTGATACATTTTCGCTACACCGCTACTAAGATTCTTTGGTAAATTGGTTCTATACATTCAAATTTGCAGTCTAAAAATATCGTTTTTAATACAGTTGCTCAAAACGTGGTATTTTTCGTACTACAAATCGTGCCGAAAGTTGGAATTTTCGCACTTGTGCTTTTTACTTTTCCATTTTTTTTAAATTTACTGTTGTTTCAAATCTTAAGCACAGAACTAAAGAAGTTGTATATTTATTTAATATTTATGTGCTTTGTGCCGTAAGTCATTCGTCATTAAAACTTATATTTATTTACAAATACTATATAATGAACGTATCGAGTGGAGGTCCACAGTCTCTGCCTACCCCTGAATGGGTGACAGGCGAGAGTTTTATGTATATATTTGTTCTATGTATTACAGATAAATTATATCTCACTACAGTGCACGGGTTCCTAAAGAAGTTTAAACAAAAGTACCAGGACTTCATAATAAGAAAAGTGGTTACAGACCGATATTACAGAAAATAAACAAAAATAGCACGTTAGAACTAGATTTCCTTAGACTTTTAAATAATGGTTGCAGTGGTTGTATTTCATTATTTTAATTTACTAGCAGAAAATGAGTTTTTTTTAAATACTGTTTTGTTTTATTTTCAATGTAGTTTTTTCGCAAATGTATTAAAAAACGTCGTTTGATACACGTGCGGATTTGTCATTTTCACTTGTCTCGCGTCAAGAAGCCTCGAGACTCGTAAATAATGACTAACTTTCCGCACTTATATCAAAAATACCTATTTCACCTCACTGTGCGCAAAAGCGTTTTTTGCACGCCAGTGTGGAAAAGATTTTTGAAATTCGAACTTGACGATGGATTGAAAGATAAAAATTCAAATAAGCGACTTGTCGTACATTACTTATTTATGTAATAAATCCGTTGGTATATTTCATTCTTATTATTGTGATAACTAATTGTGTTTATTAAATTATTTTAATTCGTTGAAGAACTAAAATAATTTTAATAATCACTTAATCATACAAAATAAAAGTATAAGCAAGAATAAAAATTGATGAGGTGTAAATTCAGAGCCATCCGAAGATAAACTTTTTCTTTTAATTTAAAAAACTTATGTTTTTCAATTGTTTTTCTTTCATGTACCAATTTCCTCGCTCTAGTGAGGTGAAAAGTAGTGTGTTTCGCTCGGCAGCAAAGTTGTTTTGCGTCTCATGCCCTAAAACCCTCGCTACGCTCAGGAATCTATTCTTGAACCATAAGCGAAGCTTCCTTCGCTTGCTCAGGTTTCAATACAAACACTCGCGTCAAACAACAAATTTGCAGCCTTGCATAACTAATAACTATTGTGTATCTGTTATGTATAGAGAGACACATCTATTGGGGCGCCTTTGTCAGTAGAAATACCTGTTTTTAAAAATGATCGATATGTATAGTTACAAACCTGTACAGGAAGGTCATTGTAGGTTTTACTTTTATAAGACATAAAATCTAACCGTAACCAACGAGGCGTTTTACGTGTTTTTCAGCTAAACCTAATCTACTGTAGATTGTTACGCTGTAATTAAGAGCTTAAAATAATCTCAAAATGCAAGACAGCATTAAAAAAATGTATTTGATTGTAATAACTATATAACTATAATTAAAAATTTGTAATAACTATATGACTAAAAATAACTAGAGAATACATTTCTTGGGTTGATTTAGAAGTGGGAGATCACTTCAGATAAAAGAGGAATGTATAAGTGTTCAAAAATGTAGAGGCCAATGATATGAAGCATCAAGGTATAGAAGAGTACTTTTATTATTCTCTTGAGAGGTAGCTGAACTTTAAATGGTGCATATGAGATGATGATCACGGCCAGAATGTGAAAGGAATTAATAATTGTTATTATCTGCCTGAATGATAAATGGAGGCGTTATCAAAGGATAAAAACGGGTTTTTATTATAACCGATTTGAAGTGAATACTACATATAGAATAAACCGAACGATCTATCAATGAAAACATGACTAACTTAAAAAGTAGCAATTGGAAATACATAGAAATTTCATGATAAAATTATGACATGAATTGTATTTTAATTTAAAGCGGTTAACTTTCTCAAGGGGTATCCCGTGAAATAATAAGCGAAATAAAATTGATCGTTTGTTTCCAGGGCATTTTGTCCTTATTTCTTGGAAATTGCTCAGGTAAAATTCGCTCAACAATAACCATCAAACATTACAATATAAAGTGAACTTCGTTTTTGTGTTCTGTAGTCCAACTTAGTTTTAGTAGAAGTCGAGTTCCTTGTGAAAGAGTTCGTCTAGGGAAGTATTGCCACCTTACCTATTTCTGCCGCCAAGCCGTAATGTGACCATAACTGCGTTCCGGTTTTGAAGGGTAGTTATATTGGTGAAATTAATGGCAGATGGGATTGATAATTTATGCCTCTGGTTGTGCCCCTCAGATCTTAGCGATTTAAGGCGCTGCAACTGCTATGGACAGGCGTGTCGCTTACGGCTTGTTCGTCTCGTCACTTGGTAGAAAAGATGCTCGAACAGTAATGTCAAAATTTTGACGAGTTTGTCTTGTCAAATATATATTTATTTTATGCACTTAACGACTTTTCTGTCTTTGTAATAAAGGCTTGGAAAGAGGAAGGATAAAAGGAAAGAAACGGGCCTGAGTTATGCCAATCACTTAATATCTTACCTAACTTCCTACGAAATAAGGACGTTTGCTTATAATCACGATTTATGCATAAGGAAAAAATTTGAAACCTGACGGTTGTAATAAAATGTACAACAACATAATATATGTGTTATAATTTGTGTACTTTAACTGATAGATATAGTCTAGACATGGGTACGCTTGCCTCCTATGTAAGGGCGGGATTTGATTGTTGTTTCTTTGCGAGTCATTTGTGCTTTATAGATCACTGTATTGTCACTTGGTGAAGGAAAACATTATGATGAAAACTGCATATCACATAAGAAAACACTTTGAAGACGGGTCCTTAATCCGTATTTGGGTTATAATATAAAACTGGCTTTAATTAAAATCTGGGCCCAGTTATGGAAACTGTACGGGGAGAATCTGATGATATAAAACATTATTTAGGAAAAGTGATTGCAAGT